GAAACACAGACTCGTTTGCCGATTGAAGAAAAACTGGGTACCGATTAGTTGTATTTTCTATCCTTTCATCTGCGACGGACGTACTTGCCACGTACCTACTTTAACCTCTTCCTTGTTAAGAAAAAAAGTATAGATATTGCGATTCTTATCGAGCGAGAGAGCACGGGCAAGTCGATCTAAAGTGTCGATCTTTTTACGCGTACCAAAGCGAAATTCTTCTTCGGTATTATGCCCTGCTTCGTAAGGTTTTCCTTACGGGTGTGCATGTTTATTACGGTGCTAATGAGCACCAGCTAGTAATCAAAGCAAATGTTTCATGACACGAGTGAAAACCGTTTGAAGGCTTTTCCTTTATGTCGTTTGGCCTTCGTCGCGCGACTCGTACGCCTCTATTTTTGTCCTCGCTTCTAAACTTCATTTCACGTAAACGCCACCATCATCGTGCACGCGCGCGATCGAAGGAAACCTGACGTTTTCTCTTCATTTTCCTTCGTTTTTTCGCCGGCAGAATATTTCCAGTGAATTTTCTTGTTTCTTTTTCTCTTTTCTCTCTCTCTTTTTTTTCGCAAATCAGTACGTTATCTGCTGGCGTGTTTTTGATTACAATTCATTCCCCATGTTTACCCTGCCAGCCGGTGGTGGTACAGGTTCGTGCAGACAAACCGCTGCTCCAGGCACTGACTGTTACTAATTAAGGGCGGTTTCAGTACGCGTGTTAATTCTTAATTAATATCTTTGTTGCCTCCTCCGACGTAGCAGCCCTCGGTACCCATTTCTCGTTCGTTCTCGCATTCTCTCTCTTTCTCTCTCTCTCTCTCTCTCTCTCTCTCCCCCTTCTCACTCTCTGTCTTCATCCTCCCTCTTTCTCTCGTCTCTGCTTCTTCTCTCCCGCGGCACCTCCGCTTTCTCACTTTTTTTTCTTCTTCGTTCTGATTCTCCTCGTCTCTGCTCCACGTCCTTTCCTCTCTCTCTTTCTCTCTCTCTCTCTTTTTCTCTCTCTTTCGCGCGCACGTTCAACCCTATCTCTTTATCTGTCTTCAGCAACACCCCAGCCCTACACCGTCCACCCACTTCTCTTCTGAAGTCTCTCGAATGAAAGGAGATGTATGGGAACACACGCGCATCTCGAGCCACTATGATAGGTACAATCGGTCACGAGTGACGAAAGAAAAAGCAAGAAAGGACTGCGGAGGAAGCGCGTTCCTCCGATTTACCGCTCAACCGTTTCAACCGGAGAATCTCTTTCGCGACGAATCGAGAAATCGTTGGTTAACCCCTTTGTCGCTTAACCCTCGTGATTCCTCTTTCTCTTTCTTTCTTTCTTTTTCTTTTTTTTTTTTTTTGCTCTCTGTCTCCCTTTTTCCATCCCCTCTCCCTCCGATACTTTCTCGCAAGCATCTAAATTGTTTCCTCGAGTTTCCTTTCGCTTCTTGAATGAGGAGTGACAATTAATTACGAAACAGCCACACTCATCTCGACGTTTCGCCGCGGAAAAAAAGTAATCCTGCCAGTATTCGGCTAAGAGTTCGACCTCTCTCTCTCTCTCTCTCCCTCCCTTCCTCACCACGCCTCGATCCACGCTTGGAAAACTTTCTTCTGTTCGACCGAGGGATTTCACCGGCAAATACTCTTCAATCGTAATAGCCAGCGGGGACTCTCGAGATCTCGAACGAGCCTCGCGCGTACTATTTCGCGAACAGCCAACAACGTTCGGCACCACATTGAACGGTGGCCCTCTTTGAAATCGAGCCCTTTACGACAAAAATATCTGTAAAGCCGGTGACTCGAGCGGGCTCTGTTAATCAACCACCGGTTCTTTCTTACGTCGTTCGGTTCTTGCCTTTCGTTCTCCCATCGAAGAATAATATTCTCTACTTTTCTTCTCACCCTTCTTGTTCCCAACTTCGACTTTCACCTTTTCTCTCATTTTTCCTTTCTTCCTGCTCTTTGCTTTTCCATCGATACGTATTGCGATACGTCTATTACATTATTATTATGTTTATTATTATTTAGCAAGGAACCGTAAGCGTTAGTCTTACTGATCTTAATTCTCCTTCCTGTTTTACCAATACGCCTTTAATTTTTAGACTACGTACGCGCGCGTTTTACAATTACGTTACAATTAGTGACAGGAGTTAATTTTTGCTCAAGATTTCTCATGTCCTTCAAAGCTATACAATCTTAAGTATCACTTGAACAATATCGCCAGTTTCTGTGGCACAAATTTATAAGCTACATGGTTGTTTTCACTACTTTATCACTACATTACTTCTATTTTTTTTCTCTCTTTGTATTTTTTCCTTTCTCTTCGTTGTATAATAATTTTTGCACACTGATCGCACTATGCTCACTACCCGTGAATAAATAAATAAACAAATTAGCTGCAGCTTTATTTACTCCGTCGTTGCGTTGAAGGAACGGCGTGTGGTCCATATTTTCTGACCTTGTTTACTCGGTTTTTCTTTGCTCATTTATCCATTTACTCGTTTACAGCTTCTTCAGCCTACTCGGATCATTATCGCAAGATTTCCTCTAGTCTCTTCGTGTTCCTCTTCAATTTTCTCTCCTGCTTCAGTGGCAGCTGGTCTCTCGAGCCCGAACGGTGAAATCATACCGCAGGAAATAAGATGATCGAATCGGACATCGGGAATACCTTGTGATGATGAATCTCTGAAGCATTCACAGGTTTAATAGATTCTGACGATAGTAGAAACGGGAAGTTTCTTGACATTTGTGTCGAAATTGTAGAGTCGTACGTTCCTTTCTTTGTCCATTTATCTTTGATAAATCCTCGTTATTATTATCATTACCATTTCTCTGTAATATTTGTAATTGATAAATCAATGTGATACAAGAATCAGATTTTTCCGATTTCGTCGATCAGTTTGATTAATTATTTTTCTATCTCACGTACGTGTGGTATGTAGATAAGTATGTGCTTAATTGAGAACATTTTTTTATATAAATGAAAGGGATATTTAAAATCAAATTCTTATATCATTGTACCTTATTCTTAATTCGATTCTCAAATCTATTTCATTCGAACATTGGTGCATTTGAGAGAGAAAATTCCCTTCATCGTCAGAGTAATGCATCAAATTTTCCTATCTTTAAAAAATTGAATTTTCTAAAAGTTTCTTATCATCGAGATCGATTCCGAATCGATGCAAATTTCCTACGATACGCCATGCTATGCGGAAATATCATTGTCCGTCATATCGTTGACTGCTCTTCTTTCTTTTCTCTCTCTCTCTTTTTTCTTTCTTTATCACAATGGCATTGTATAATTGACGTCGCGTTAGGTCGTAAACCGAAGCTGATAGAAAAGTAGGTAGCATCCTGGCAGAAACTGTCGTCCACGGAGAGGTTCCGTTGCCCATGTTTCGCCGCGTCTCCAATTTTCCAGCCGGCTTTTCTGAGCGTTGCTAGTACCACCCCGGGAGCCATGCCAGTCTCCTTTTGCTTGTAGAATCCTCCGGTATTTTCCTTTGCCAGCAAATTGGACTATTACGGTAGCGGCTTGTACCTCGGCGCCGTGTCTTCGCGAAAACCGCGTATTTTCTCTCTTGCTCCGTGTCCGCCCCCGCGCCCGCTCACGTCTCCCGTTTATTCGTACCCTTTTCCACATCCCTCGACAGAGGTCCTCTTACCTAGCGGGCTCAAAGTGGCGCGCAGTTGTTAAAACAACCAATTCTGTCGGAAAGCTGCTCGTTACGGGCGCCTCTCTCTCTAATTCTCTCTCTCTCTCTTTCGGTCTCTTGCGGAATCCTTCGTAATCCTGATGGCAAACCGTTCGTCGTTCTGCTGACGCAACGGAAATGCCGGCCAATAAAATCCCTATCTTCCTTCGGTTCTTCTTCTTAACGACGCACTCTCAACACAGGGACCGGTGATCGTTTCCTTTCCAAGGGAATTGAGAATCTTTCCTGTAATTGGTACGCGTCTTCCTCCGCAGCGAGCTCGTCTGCATTTTTTACTGCCTGCTGGAAACTCGTCTGGCCTCGAATACAACGGTTTCGTTTTAATTGACTGGCGTATTGCCGCGAGTCCAGTCTCGAAGAATTTTCTTTCCACCGTTCGTGGAGCGGACGATTTGGATTTTAACGGTGGGCGTGGTGGCGGAATCGAATTTCGAGAAAGAGAAAGTATCCCGTTACCGATTAGCGCTCCGAATAGGGGAGGGTGTGGCAGGCACCCTCGATTTCCTCGAAATATTTTGACAAGAAATTTAATATCGGGGCGAACTCGGGACCAAACGAAATTATACACGATTGCTCGTATCCTGAAGATGCGCCCGGCGTGTTTCGAACACGGAATAAGTACGTATACACGACGACGTTGAAACGCATCCCCCGTTAGACACAGGGATGATGACCTACAGGGAAATCATTTTCGACCTGTCGTCCCTTGTTTCGAGCGACATCGCTCTGCGGGTTATGGCAAGCGGAGCTTAATGGCTTGGAAAAATCGGAATCATCGCCGGTATGAATACGTAATCAGTTCTCTGCTTATTCCTCGCCACGTGACGTCATCGTGTGAGCGATGTAGCCCCGTCATCGTAATCGAGACACACTCGTTCTCTACTCTTAATGCAAATTCGCGTCTTTGTAAGTCACCGTGCTGTTACCACATTATTTTTACGCCGCAAATTTCCACCCACAGTGTGGAAAGTGAATTGTGAAAGTTTCTTCGCTCCTTTTTGTCTCGAAGTGAAGTCGCCTTGGAAATTATATCAGACGCGAGGTATATGCGTGTCGAACATTGCTGACAAACGATGGGTTTGAGATGGTATTGCCAAGAGTAGACTCTGATCGGACAACTCGAGCGTAAGCTCAGCACGGTTGTTTGGGCGTTTTTATGGACACGATCGAATTTCTCCAGTCGTTTGGAACGCGAAAGTGAAGCTGAGACGACTGAATTTCGAACATATCGTTTCGAGGGTAATACGCATTCTCTTTTCTACGTAATTAAGTGACGAGGTAGTTTAGAAAATATCTTACCTGGACTGGTATTTGAGAACGAACTCTTCGATTGAGAGAAACCTGGAACAGAAATTTCGTTACATTATTATCTGCAAAGCAAGCAGTTGTAAGTTGTGTATACAGAAATATTTCTAACAACCAGAATAGGAGCGTCCCTAATTTTTCTCGATATGTTCTTTTTTCGCGGGGAAAGAAATACCCATTAGTACAAAAAGTGATAGAATTATAAAAATTTTTAATGTAGTGGGGTATGAGAGTGAGTGAAAAATTATAAGGAGATATTAAATAATGAGAATTTAAAAGATGGAAATGAATGGTTAAGAATATCGATCAAACAACGTGCATTATTAGCGTTAATAAATATACGATTATACAGGTTATAGAAGTCATAATAAGTTCGATGATGTTCAATATAAAGCAATTTATGATTTAAATATTTCAATGATATTCGGGAACGAAATCAGACCATTAAATATCCTATTGACAAAGACCAAGTCAGCTATTTTCCTGCGATGTTCAAGTGTGGTCAAATTTAATTTAGTTAGAACATACTCGTAATTATGAGAATATCTTGGCATAAGATCACCACTATGGTAAGCTGCCAAGCGTAGAAATTTGAGTTGCGGTTTTTCAAGAACGTCAGTGTAGATATTGTAGTAGGTATTAGTATCTAACCAATGTGCAATAAAGTAATCTTAGTGCGTTCGTATCATTAAAAAGTCTAGCGGTTCTTTGAATAAGACCTAGAGATTTAAAGGCACGCGATATGATATTTTTGAAATGTTCCAGCGGAGGACAAATCATGTGAGAAAAGAATTTCTAAATCACGAATCGAGTCAAGATTATCAAGGATGGTGCCTCCAAGAGAATAATTAAAAATCTTCAAATTAGTTTAAGACTAAACCTGATAACTTTGCATTTGTCAAGATTAAGTAATAATTTATTGGATTTGCACCATATTTTCAATCTCGTGCGGTCATTCTGAATTAAGGAAAGATGATAAACAGAAATGATACATTTTCAAGTCATCCGCATTAAATATTTACAAAACTGAAAGGCAATTTATTGACATTTGCTCGTGAAATTTAATTTTTATCATCAACAGTCCTATCAAATTTTCTTATTTTGTGTGTAAAGAATAATAAGAATCCATTGTATTTACGCGCGCGTGCGTATATTTCGGAAATTTCAAATCCCATGAGGTAGTAACGCACAATTCAGCACGGTTCCAACAAATTTTACGTCACGAATCACGATAATAATCCGTTACGAATACCAGAGACTCAGCAACTGAAAGAAGGAAGGCGTCGCGCGAAATAAAATGTACCGCGTGCATTCGCGAAATGAAATTTCATTCAGAAATTAACTAGAATTCTGTGAAACAGATTTGAAAGGGGGTGACACACACTCTGGCGCTCTGCTATCTCGAGGCTCGACCCTGATTAACGGCTTCGCGAAATTAACTCGACAATTATTTCATTAGTGCCTAGTACGACATTTTTCATCCGGTCTCAATGGCCTTTGGGATCCAGAGAGGAGAGGGAGGGCATATACCTATACATATATATTTATATATTTAAGTATATATCTGCATACATATATAGACGCGAGTCGACTCGAATGCGTTACCCTTAATTATTCGACCAGAATTAACTGTAATTTAATTAATTAAGATCTCATAAAAAAACACAACGGTCGTTTTTATATGGAACCAGACGTGACCCGGGTCACCTCGTTAAAATGATTATCGAAGTTCGTGCATTCGCCTAGCTGTAATTTAACACGTGAGTCGGACTTTCGGCGAAAAAGCTCAATTCGATTAGGACTTTGATCGTCGTCGAAGCTACATTCGAGTGCAAACGCGAGAAAACAGCGTTACACTGTACTACATCTCAATTATTTGCGTTTTCATTTAAATTTTTCATTTAACGACAAGTGACGAGCAGATTCTCTTGGCCGTAGCGCCGAGGCCACAACAGCGATGTTCGTAATTAAAGGCAATTTCGAAAACCGCGCGATTCTTATTAGGCGCGGGCGTTGGTGTTGGCAGATCGGTTGGCTGGTTCGTTGCTTGCTCGTGAGATTTCTCTCGTTAGTTCCTGCGAATTTAATTGCCCGACGCGCGCGGCCGACAGAACAAATCCGCCCGTTAATCGCGCACGGGATTCTGATTCACTTTGTCGACATCCAGGCGGCCGACGACCGGCGTGCTTTCCCATTTTCTAAAAGCTCGCTCAGCGGGATATACGTACAGCGTACCACCCTCTCACGGCGGCTCAGATACGCGACTATCTCTCTCTCTCTCTCTCTCTCTCTTCTCAGAGATCGCGGTAGCCCCTGGAACGAAAATAAGTCCGCGTATTAAGACGTTTCACCACGGCCATTTTCTAATAAAGTCGTTCCCGTTGGCGCGGATGGCTCGTGGGGTCTGAAAAACAGGGGTTGAAAAAGATTCTCGCGTTCCTAAGAAGGTTAGGGCTCGTTGCCTCCAGTCGACGGAGCGATAAAGAGCGAGTGGCACGGGTACGGGGGTTGAGGGGGAAGAGGGGTCTGGGACACGAACGCAAAGTTCGCGTTTCAGGAACACGACTCTGCGCGAGTGTACGGCCGAGGCCTGCCAACACGACGTTGTCGTAGTTGTGTAGTTGCGTCGTGGCGGCTGGCGGCCACCGGGGGCGGCGGAACTCCACCCTCAAACGACTTTAACGAGCCGCCGTCTTAAAATAGGGATGCCGAGCTTGTGCCGAGTTTGCGCGTTTGTTTGATAAATTAACCCAGAAAAGTATGCTCCACCGTCGGAGTACTTAACAAGCCTCACCCGTCGAGGAAACCATGGCAAATGTGGAACAGGGATTCGTTGATACTCCAACGATTCGGTGATTAATCAAACACACACACACTCGTTCGAGACGATACAGTTGGAAACGTGCACGATGGAAAATCGTCTTTTCTTTTCTTTTTTTTTACACGTGTCCTCCTGCCGTGTTCACGTTGGCGACGCTCACAATCGCGGGAAACGGAACGGGGATACATTTGTTCGATCGCAGGATTCCGATCAGCGTGTGCTGTTCACTTGAAGGTTTCACGGAACGAACGCGTGTCACGGGGCATTATATGCCGCGGTATTATTCTGGTTTTCCTACGTTCCGTTCCGCCTTTCACGGAATCCGGTGTCCGTGCCCATGCCGGGTGAAACTTAAACCCCAATCGCGCACACTGGATGGAAGGTTACGGATTTTTTGAAAACTCGACAATACGTGGGCACGGCCCGCGCCACTGGTGACAAGACAGGGGCCTCCATTGAGAAAAATCCACTTCCTAGGTCTCGTGTTACCCGGCGTATTTTGACAGGGTCTCATTGTCGTCGCGCGGCTAAGCTCCATTGACTCTATTATGGGCCTATTAGTATTATACGAGGATTTGTGGTTACTCCCTCCTTCTAGCCTGCGCTCCTTCACGAAGCCTCTTTCTTGCCTGAAACCGAACGGTTTCGCCCACGGTTCGTCCATTTAGAGCCACGAACGCGTCCCGAGCCGTTTGACGAGCAATTTCCATCGACAGAGTCGAGTCAGCTTAGGTAGCGACACGTCTTCCCGATTTATCGCTTGGATCGTTAACACTCGGATTGGCTACCTGCGTGAAAATCCTCTTCCTCCCTGACTAACGCGGCAAATGGTACATCCAAATTAAACAAAACGCGAGACGGGCAATTAGCCCTCGAGTGTCCCGGAGATTTTTTCAGTGTATTATTAACGCTCCAGATAACGAGCCACTCTGTAATCGGACTCAGCTGAGATGGCTGAACGGGCAAATAATTACCGACGTAAATAGCAAAAAAGGAGGAATATCGCGTTGGCTTGTGAAAAGAGCGAGTCTCCATCATAAACTCTATCACGTTGACGGGATGAGAGAGAGAGAAAGAGAGAGAGAGAGAAAGAGAGAGAGAGACCCGAGTATACGGTGTACAACAGTGTGAGACCACGCACGCACGCACGTACGCACGCACGCACGCACGCACGTCCGCACTCGTAGACTCGAAGAGCCTCGCGCCAACGGGAGAAGCTACCTTCGTTTTCCAAGTCGCGAGAGCAAGCATCGCGGAATGAGCTGCTACTTAGAGAGAACGGGTGGAAACGCATTCACACACTGGCACGCAATCAAAACTCCTCGTGGCTGCCGCGCTATGCACGTACACGCGTGCACACGCGTGTGAACCCGCGTGTTCTCGTGCCCATTCATAGCGGTGCAGCGGTAAGATTTGCTCTCGCGACTCCTCCCCGCGTGTGCGAGGAAGCTGCCGCGATTCCGTGGAACGGGCGAGAGAGCGAGAAGAGAAAGCACCCGGGGTGACGCTGCCAAGGGAGAGAGAGAGAGAGAGAGAAGCAAGAAGCCAGGGACGGAAAACGGGCACCGCTTGCGAGAGAGAAAGAGAGAGTGAGAAGGTTGGGAGAGACGGAGGGAGGGAAAGCGGAGGACTACGGCGCGCGTGTGTTTGAGGCGTGAATTCATGTATGCTCGCGAAGCACTCTTCACTGGGGACAATCGAGGTGTTGGACTGGAAATCCATACCAATTTGAGCGACTTACGGTCGTTCGCTTGAAAGCCTGGTATGTACACGCTGCCACCGGTATACACGAACGTGTCGCGTATACACGAAGCTGTGCGATCTCTCTCTCTCTCTCTGTGCGTCGTGTACGCGCGCGCGCTCGTTTACGCACGCATCCAGAGCTAGGCGCGCGCGAACCCGACGCGATCAACGTTTGCGTCAACGCCTTGTCCCTTTTACTTGTTTCGATTTATTTTATCCAGTTTTTTCGTCGCTAAACCATCTCCTCACAGTTGCCAGACCCTCGACTGTGCGATTGTGCGATTTCAGTCGCACACCGCCTCTCAGAGTGGGGAGGGAGAAGAAAAAAGAAGATAGCAATTAGCGGTTTTCATTGTTCCGAATTTAACTATTCCGCGCAGCGGAGCCGCTTTCGCGGCCGACACGAAGGCAGGGAGTAAAGAATTGTACAAAGAGCCGAGTGACGTAGCGAGATTTACACTAGAATTCTTGA